TCAGAATATATCTGATAATTTTGACTTGATCTTGCAAATTAATGAATAAAACCCACAATCTTTCAAACTCAGTTAACGTTGCATTCTTCTATAATAGCCTTCCTCAGTTTCACACTGTAACACCAAAGATTTCTGGTGAAGATGACTTTTCCTGAAAGCTAGGGAATCCCAGTCCCACATAACTGTTGGGTGCCAGTCTGGGGAAAATCATTCTACAAGCTCATTACTTCTTCTGAAACAGAAGTTTTGCTTTTCACATTGTCTAGCAAGTACAGCCGCCCACTCTCTTTTCTCATCTTCCATACATGATTTCACATTCAAACTTCATGACAGTCACTTTTCTGCTGCTGCTATTGCCCCCTCTAAATTTTCAAGGAAGGAAGGAAGGAAGGAAGGAAGGAAGGAAGGAAGGAAGGAAGGAAGGAAGGAAACGATTGATAACAAATTTGTGTAACAATTCATCTCAGTTAGGTAGGGAAAATCAAAATGACAGCATCTTACCAGTGTTTTGAAGAAGCTCATGATGTTATTATCTGTCCTAGTTGCTGTGTTAGTGTTGTCTGTTTTCCTCTCTTCTTCGGCAAGATCCTCAGAGGCCAAGCAATTGGAAACTGCTATATCCTGTGGCAGAGTGGTTTGCTTGTGTTCATCTATTAAATCCTGCATCAAAAGAAAGCATGTTTCTTTCAGATCCCAACTTATTGAATGCCAAACAGATTTGTAAAAGTAATCTGTCTGCCACTCGTATCATGTTGCTCTACAAAAGAGAGTCATAATTCCATCCATATTTCTTCAGCCTACATATCCAGAACAATTGGTCGTTTATGTAGTCAGTGTCGAAAATATGCACGTTTGCCGCTGAAGTTGGAGGGACATTGTTCTGACTCACAGAGAACAACAAATGCAAGAAACAGGGTTGCATATGACCAAACACGGATCCTCATTCCAAGCAACTGAATATTAAATACTAAACTCCACAAGATTCTGAACTCTGAATTCTGAGGATTATATAGTACCACACTATAAGTTTTTTTTTAAAAGCTCAGTTTATAAAATTTGATTTGCTTAGCATTTGCTTACACCTAGCTATAACTTTAACACTGATGCAGCATGGAAATGTTCTCTTGGTGATTGTTTACATTACAAAAATAATAATTTCTACAACTGTAAGGATTTTTTTGGAAAAAAATATATTGTTCAAGCCTTTGAGTTTGAACTAAATAGTAAAAAACCACAAAAGTGCCTTATATAGTGAAGACCAATGATAGTCTCTGGGGTAACGAAGAGACTAAGGAGCAAA